CATATGCCCAGCGGGTTTGGGCGGACGGGCGGGTGGTGAGAGGGTGGGCGTGCGGGCGTGTTATTATTATTTTTATGATTATGATTATCATTATTGTTATCATTATTATCAGTATTGTTATCATTGTTATTATTATAATAATTATCTATCCATTATTATTATTATCATTGCTTTTCATATTATATTGTTTCTATTATCATTACTCTCATTACCGCTATCAGTATCTTATTATTAACACAATTATTATCATTACCATCATCATTATCAAATCTCTTCATTTCTTCTTCTTATGATTGTTAGTTATCAGTAATGCTATCATCTCGCAAATTATCATAATCACTGCTATAATCTTCATCGTTATAATAATTTTTAGGGAATTGTATTACATAAAACTAAGACTTCTACGCAAGTTATATGTTAATGTAAATATTATAGAGTATACATGCAGTCAAGTGATATATATAAATATATATATGTTTTTTTTTTTTTTTATTCACTTTGGTAACTTATATTTTTTGGGAGAGACAGATTCGATCTAAGTATTTCTGGGTCTGCCTGTCTTCTCTAACATCAATTAACAACTTATTAAGAACAGTAATTAAAGTTAATGAGTGATACATCGTCTTAATATTTCGAAGACGTACTGTACCTTAAACCCAACCTGTTTTTTTTATATTTCTTATTATATATTCAACTTGAACGTAATCACAAACTGAAATGAAATTGAATACCCTTCCCCCTCAAAGTAGAAAATAATATTCATATAGATTTAAACCCATCATTAGGCGAAAACTTAACTTCCTCCAGAAACCTTCATAATGAAGACACAAATAATCAAACTGATAGATCTCAATAAATCCACATATATATATTTTTTAAAAACTTTAACACCATAATTTCCCATCTTTCTCGATCTTACAATATTTCAATGACGATCAACTTCTGTGCAAAATATTACGATGATATAATTGCACCTTAGCTTTTTTTTTTCCCTAAAGTTTATAAAAAACGTACACGACTTTTTTTTATCATCTTTTGTTACTTGTTGTCTATGATACTTTCTTCCTCGCTCGATCTCCCCTGGCACTCGACCGCTGTGCCTCAGTGCCATCGGCGGAGTGCCACTCACGCGGAACTAAATGCTGCCGCAGAAAGATCGATCTAATATGGCACTTAATAAATGAGTGCTCGTGTTTCCTGAGTCAGAGAGAGAGAGAGAGAGAGAGAGAGAGAGAGAGAGAGAGAGAGAGAGAGAGAGAGAGAGAGAGAGAGAGAGAGAGAGAGAGAGAGAGAGAGAGAGAAATTGAAATTGAAATAAGACATAGAAATAGATATAGAAACAAGAACAGGCAAACAAAAAAACAGAACAAGAAAATAAGACAAAACAGACAGACAACACGAAACTAAAACACAAACGACCAAATACGTAAAAAAACAAAAAACAAAACAACAACACTCCTATCAAGAACACAGAAAAAAAAACCAACAACCTTACCACACTACCCATGTGCTAACCCTCACTACCCCTCCCTCCCTCCCTCCCCCTCCCTCCCCTGCCCATAAGTACCCAAGTGCCCCCCGAAACAACGAACTTAGAAGCACACTCACCTTCTCTCCTCATTCCGACTTTAAAGCACTTCCTGAGACGACAGTATTGGCACTGATTACGGTGGTGTTGGTCAATGGGGCAGTTTCGGTTGCCCCTGCATGAATATTGCAGGTTCCGGCGGACTGATCGTTTGAAGAAGCTCTTGCACCCTGCCGGAGGGAAGGAGGAGGGGGGGGCGTTAGTGGAATCCTTGGCGAGCATTGGAGGGTTGTTTTTTGGGGGGGAGGGGGAGGGTTTGGGTATGTCATATCTTTATGGGATATATATCTATATTTTTTTTCGAAGGGAAGTTGGGGAAAATGGGGGGGGGAGGGTTGTCAAAATATTTCTCTTTTGAATTTTGATTGTATATATTTTTTATATAAAGGGACTCGATTCAGTGCACTTAAGAGACAGCTGGGCTCAAGCGATCGCTGCCGCCGCGTGGAAAGGCTACAGAACTATTCTGGGGAGATATTCATGAGGCACTACTCTGTCTCGCAAGTCGGCCAGAGCGGCTCTCAAAGGGTGCAAGTGCGAACCCAGGCCGCCTGCAGGTGGCCCGGCCGCCGCACCCGCGCGCCCCGGCGGCCGCAGGGCACGAATCTCCGCGACCCTGGGTCAAGGGGCAGCGCTATGGGTGCCGGACGGGTCAGCTGGGCGGCGTCCCCCGCGGGCGGCGGGCGGCGGGCACCTGGCCGGCCGGGCAGCGATGCCTACCTTCGCAGGTGAACTGGCCATAGTGTTTCCCTGAGCTTTTGTCGCCGCACACCACGCAGGTCATGTTCTGGGCGTTCTTGTCGTCGCCTGTGGGGCTCGGGGCGGACGAGGGCGCGCTGCCCGCCGTCGAGTTGGGCGTGGGCGTCTGCGGGGCATTGGGCTGCGGGGTCACACTCGCGCCCAGCTCGCGGG